TTCCAGGAGAGCTGTGTGCAGCAGGCCCCACCCCACAGCAGGCCACACCCCACAGCAGGCCACACCCCACAGCAGGCCACACCCCACAGCAGGCCCACCCCACAGCAGGCCACACCCCACAGCAGGCCACACCCCACAGCAGGCCACACCCCACAGCAGGCCACACCCCACAGCAGGCCCACCCCACAGCAGGCCACACCCCACAATAGGTCCACCCCAGTCCTTCCTCAGGGTTGAACCCCATGGCCAAACACAGCTTGGAGAGCATAGAGCCCCTTGAGTGGGAAAAGGCCTTCCACAATGGAGGTTCTCTGGAAACTGAGTTGTGGATAAGGAAGGGCTGAGGTCTAAGAACTTATTTACAAACGGAAGACAGGTTTGAGCCCAGGCTATGGCAATGCCTGAGCAGTGAGGGATGGTGGAGTGGCCCAAGGGAGGCCTGACAGGCAGGTGAGCTACTGTGTCCAGCCTTTCAGCGTCTCTGAGCAACACAGTCATTTACAAAGCTCATCTTCATGAATAGTATGATTGAGTTCCAAAACCTTTACAAAAGCTTGAGCTAAGTATGGTGGTGCATGCTGTTAACCAGCACTTCAAAGAATTCCAGGCCAGCCAGGACTACACCGGGAAACCCTGTCAGAGAAGAGAACTTAAATACTATCTCATGCTGTTTTGATTGAGTGTTTTGTTTTAGGCTGCACTCTAGGTACCCTGGGGTAGCCTCTTCTGCTCCCTCTGTCCTAGTGTTAGGCCTTCTGACACCCCAGCCCTCCCTCCACTCTTCTCCACCCCGGAACCACCTCTGTGCTTGAACATTTGCCCTTTAATCCCTAATTAGAGACGCTACTGGGTCCCCCACACTTGCTCTTGTCCGTACCCTTGCAGGACATTCTGTGACCTGGGGCAGCATATACAAGCTGCCTTTTTCTGGTTGTCACCTGGCCCCACGTCCCAACTCCAGCCCATCAAGGGGTGGGCATGGACACCTAGCCAGCTTAGCACTTGCTTTCAAAGCCTTTCTGGGCCTGGGCCAATACTACCCTGGCTGACTCTGGGGTTGAACCCTTCCCCAGTTGAGTGTGGTGCTGGATAGAGACCTTCCTGCATTTCTTATCTGGAGCCCTCTGGTGGGTATGACTGGTACTGGATGAGGAGAGGAGGAGGGCCAGGGGCAGGTACAGCCTGTGCTTGCCAACCCTCCCACCGAAAGTAGTAGCATTTCTGTTTCAGACTGTGCCTCCCCTTACCAACCAACAAAACAGGCCAGGGCCTTTCATAAATGCTGTCGCTGTCCCCATCTCTGTCTGTTGGGGACAGGCACTGCTGGGTTTGTGCAGATCACCCTGGTGGCTCTCACAGCCCCCCTGTAAGTGGCAGGAGATGTCTAGTTACCCCTTTTCCTGGAGGCTGCAGTGACCTAGCCTTTCTGATGATACTTCATCCTACTAACAGAGCACAGGTGTTGTGGTGAGCAAGGTCTTGTGGGAACTGTGATCCATGTCTACCTGAGAGGTCCTTGGGGCCCCTGGGAAAGTTCCCTATAGAGCCCCTGACAGTGACATCTCTTTCCTAGGCCAGGTCAGCCGTACAGCTGCGGTGACGACTGTGTCCACCAGAGGGCACACTGCCCTGCATTGCTCAGCTGAACTGGGCTTTGCACACCAAATGCTTTTTAATTGAAAATTTTTTTAATTCAAAAAGGATTTGCTGTTTGTACTCAAGTGCAGGTTTTCCTTATGCAGAGACTAATGTCTTGAGTAAACAGATCCGGGCTCAAATCCACCTTCAAAGGTACTCTCTATTTGCCCAAGGGAGTGAAAGGGCTTCCAGAAGCCGCCCTAGTCTCTTGGGCAAACATTTTGGGGACGAGGAATCCCAGGCGGAGGACATCATCTGTGGGAAGGTTATCCGAAGCCTAAGGGGGATTATGTCTGGGGACATATGTTGAAATTTCATTTGGGGAATTAGGGAAAACAAGTGTGGGGGTGGTGACTTTTTCTAGCCAAGATAACCTAAAAAGGGAAATACTCCAGGGAGAGGGCAGGGACCAGGGGATCTGTGTGTTGTGTCAGCCCCCAGGGTCTCCATGTGCCTGGGCTGTAGGGCAGGAAAGGGCAAGTGTGTACTTGCAAACCCCCCCACACACACACACACACTCCAAGCCAGGGTGCAAGAGAAATGAGAACTCAGAACTGAGCAGGTCGGTGGGTCTGTGTCCTCTCAGAGCCCTCTCTTACTCCCAGCCACTGGGGCCTTACTGCCTGGTCAACCAATTGCTCCCCCTCCCACTGACCAGAAAGTTCCACCCGCATGCAGGTGCCCAGCCCCAGCCTGTCTCAGACTAGATGGTCTGGAACTGAGCCAAGCAGACAGTATCAGATGAAGGGAACCCACAGTCCTGTGGGCCCCTCCCGCCCTGGAAGCCGAGCACAGCTGAGCGCACTTCTAGAACAGTAGAACTGCAGGCTGTGTCTCCTGCCCTCACCCTGCTGACATCACCCGAGCTTTTCCTCCCCTCACCTGAGAGGCACTGCACCTCTTCCCTGCCTTCCAAAGTGGGGTACTCCGCCCTCCTTGTCCCTCCTTCCTAGTACACTCTCATCCACTCAACCACCAAGTTACAGCCTCTGGCCCCTCCCAACCCTCCCCTTCCCACTCACTTCCAGATTTGTGTTGGTCATGGGATTGGTCAGGCTGACTCTCAGTCTCCTAGAAGCCACTTGAAAATACACATTTAGATCCATCCCAGACCCCACCACCAGCAGTCAGAATTGCATTCCACCTAGCTGGGGCTGGTGTGCACCCAGGTGAGTATCTGTGTTGCCTCTCACACTGTCCCTGGGCTGGGCATCCTGCTCCCAAGGGCTACCTGTCCCCATCCTAAGGATAAAGGCCTGTCTGAATGCACTTTTATCACTATGGCCCCAGCGCTCTCTCTCTCTCTCTCTCTCTCTCTCTCTCTCTCTCTCTCTCTCTCTCTCTCTCTGCCTCTTCCCCTGAACTCTCCTGGGGACCCTCTTCCAGAAAACTAAACCCCTGTCCTCTCCCCAAACTGCACTTTCTCTGGTGTCCCGATGCTCCAGGCCTTTGTACTGTTGGGAATGGCACCTGGCCCCTCCACCCTCACACCTGTACCATTAAGACCCCTGCACATTTGCCCAGTCATGGTTAATTCTTCCCTGGGAAAGACCCATGTTCCAATATATGCCCTTGCTTGAGTCCTGGACTATATGGAAAGTTCCTGGGCCCCTCTGGCACCACCCTATGAGTGAAAGGTTTCATAGAACTTATGCCTTTGCAATCTTGACCCCACCCCCAAATGTTCCTTCTCCCACCCACCCCCAACCCCCAGCAGAGTAAGGCTTGCTGTTCACTTACACACATACACCTGAGCAGCCACCAGGTGGCAGTGTTGTGCTGGCCATTGCCTGAAGCCTTTTGGGTAGCCAGCTGCCTTTAGCCTGATGGTCTAGGTTACCCTGATGGGATGGTGTGCCTTCAGAGGTCACTAGAGAGTAGGAAATTGGGGGTGGGGTTGCTCTGATGGGCTCTCCTGATAGCCACCAGATGTTTAGTGGAAGAAGCTTGCTGCCAAGGATGGGCCTGTGCCACCTCTGGGATTTAGCAGACCACATCTCTCCTGCAGTACCCAGCCCACTCTCCGTTTACCCATCCTGGTAATAGATGCCGTGAGGCAGGACTCACAGGGTTGCATGGGTGCTATCCTGAGTGGCTTCTTGGTCACACGCTGAACCTCAGCTCCCAGCTGCCCCCCCCCTCGCTCTCTCGCTCTCTCGGGATGGGCTCCTCGCTGCCAGCAGCTCTCTTTAGGTGTGTGGTGGTTCCTGTTTGGCCAGTGCCTGGCAACAGGAGCATGGTGCCACACAGCCTGGCCGGGGTCTGCAGCTTCCCCTGCTATGATCTGACCACATTCTCCTGCACAGGCTGTGTACTGGGTGGGTGTCCTGCAGAGTGGTGGAGTTCTCAGAGCCGCTTTCTGTTGGAAAGCCTTTTCAGGGCCTCCTACCCCTCACCACTTCTGATCTATTGAACATGTTTGGCAACCACTAACCTAAACCTCTCACCTAATGCTGCCTATTGGAGCACCCCAGGCTTTCCCACGACCCCTTCATCTCTGTAGGATAAGGACCCCTCTGCAGCACCTCACCACGCCCACACCGACTGTCTCAGCCTTCTCCCTACCCAAGACACTGGCTTCTTCTCAGACTTTTCATTGGACTTGGAGCCTTTTATTTCCAGCCTCTACAGAATTGGGGTTTCCAGTGCAAGAGTTATAGTCCTCCATAGAACTGGCTCTTGGCTCAGGATGACAGCATGGCCTGGCAGAAGGCAAGTTCACACACTGGCCAACCACCACCACCATTGGGAGCTGCTTGGCCCATCTATGTGACTGTGCAGGGACCCCCCCCCAGGGAAGGTTCTGGGTGCAGTGAGGAACACTTGCAAGGGGTATGGGGTGGTGAGAATGGCCCAGAAGCCCTTCCAGACCCCCAGGCCACTGAGGTGTGTCCTGGACAGTGCCCCGTGTGCCCAGTGGCTAGGACTTTCAGGACTCTGAAGAGGCCTCTGGTCAATCATGCAGTCCACTCACCGGTCTGCCCTCAACAGCCTTGCAGTGGCCCCTCCTTGAGGTACAAGCAGGGACAGGAAGACACTTGCCTCTCAGCCTGGCACAAGTTCTGATGTGAGCTTGCCATTGGCCCCAGAAGTGTGCACTGCTGGTGCCAAAGTCTTACCCTGCAGAGGCTGCAGGGACTGTGAAAACTGCTTACCTATTGTCACCTCCCCCAGCCTCTGCCTCTCTCTCTGCCTCTCTGTGTCTTTCTCTCTTATATGCGCGCACATATGCACCCACAGTGACATACTATCCCAGCTCTGGTTCTCAGCAGCCACTCTGCCCAGGGTTCAGCTCTGCTCGGCTGGGGCCTTTTCTGGGGTCCTCTGGCCTGACTGTGCCTCTCTCTCCCCTCCTCTTGCAGTATGAGTACAGTTTCCGCACAGAGCAGAGCGCAGCAGCACGGCTCCCACCCAGCCCCACACGGTGCCAGCAGATCCCCCAGTCCTGAGGAGCCCACAGCCTCCTGGGGGAGAAGACGTCTCCTACCCGGTGCCCAGACTACTGATGGGGTGGCTGGGGTGAGAGCTACTCCCTCTCCCACCTACCCATTCTGCTTGACCTCCCCACTGACCAAGAGACTCGGGGCAGCTGTGTGAGCATATATGGTCATCAGCTTGCCTGACGAAGACTCCTGCCTCCCTGGGAACGTTGTTCATAATTGTGACTAATGTATGTGCTGTTAGTGACCAGAGGCTCCTAGCACACCTGTGTGATGACCACTTATCCCACAAAGAAAGAAAACCCCTTCCCTGCCTGGAGTCACCCATGAGGTCCTGGGCATATGCTCCAAAAGCCCAGTGATGCCCCCTGGCTCCCTCCAGCACCCACTCTAAGAATCCCACAAAGCCACTGTCCCTCCTGGAAGACTCCAGGGCTGACTGCTTCACACAAGACCCTGAAGATGTACTCATCATCTCTGACCCAGGCTACCGGGAACAAGTTCCCCTGCTCAACAAGCTCAAGTGGCCCATGCATTTCATGATGAAAACGGGACTCTGCTTCACCCCAGACAACTGTGGACTCTTCCCCCAATGCACACACTGGATGTCCAGAGCACACAGAAGGGAACCCGCTTTCTGTGGAGGTGACTGGGTGCCTACCTGAATGGAGATTTGGCTGCTAGGGTGCTGTGCCTGGCCACAGCTCCACTCCCCACAAAGGGCTCATTAATGGAGCTTACACCTGCCAGCAACAACTCCATATGCCCGGTGCCCTGACCTGGTGGCAACAGACACAGAGCATGCTCTGAGAGGCGTGGTGCCCAGCCCTGCCTGCAGGGACATTGTACAAGGGCACCAACTCTCAGCCAGGCCCACCAACAGTCTAGAAGGCACCTCCTACCAGTGATCTGCTGTTTTGAGAAGTTCCTCTGTCCTGGGCCTATGAATTTGGGCTAGAACATTTCACAGGTGTCCATCTGAGGTGCCAAGTTCAACTCCACATCTGTGGCCATGAAAACAGTGGTCACTGCTGTCCCAGCTCTCAGCCTCACCATGACATGCTGCTTTGCCATATTGGCTATTAGGGTTTGTCTGGCATTGGTCCCGAGTGTCTGTGGATGTGACGGTGTGCACAGTGGCCAGTGGCCATAGGCAACTACATGCCAGCTGTACGAACCTCTCCAGTTACAGCTCCAGAGACAGCCACGGGCAGCTGAGTGGACAGGGTGCAGAAGGGCCAGGAGCAAGAACCAGCCAACAAGATGGCATGAGTCAGGGCAGGGCCAAAAATACCTCACCAACCTCCATCAGCCCCTCAGCTCCAGCTCCTCGGGCCCTTTGTGGTCCACCCCCGTCCTGATGGTACTTCATTTTTATGTGTCTCGAATGGTCATCTCACCTCCTTGTCTCAGATTTGAGCATACCCTCTGGGGTACCCATCAACCCCCTGCCTCTGGGCCCTACAGCCTCCAGGCAGCACAGGCTGTGAAAGGTGGTTAGCTCATCTGCCGGTGCCCCAGAGTCCTGTGGGGTCAAAACCTAGTGCCAAGCTGGTGCTCAACAGAGCTGATGAACTGTGCCGCAGACAGCTCCACAAGTGTCTACTGCTGCTGGGGTAACGCCTGTGTGACCTGGGGCCCAACAGAGGGGGCAACCACTCAGTCTGAGTTAAATGGAAAGGTTGGGGAACAAAGCTCCAGGGTTTCCCGGCCTCTTAAGCTTGTGCACATTGTCTTACCACCCCCTAGTTTTGAAATTGTCCTCACCAGGTGATGCCAGGTGGCCCTCCCCACTTCCTTTGATGGAGAATGTGGCTTCCCTGCAGCTTTTACAGGCCCTGGAAGTTCAAAGATTAAAATGGTGGACCCTTTGTCAGTGGTCAAAAAGGCCAAGTGAAGAGGTCCCTGGAGAAAGGACGAGGGCTCGGCAGCCCACTCATACACCCCACGGGACCCAGCCACAGGACCCAGCCATGGGGAAGAGGACAAATGCGTGCTCTGAGCTGGAGCAATCTCGGGACATTGCAGATGTAGTTTCAGAATAACCTTGACTGTGAATGTTGTAGCATCAACAGCTTCTAGCTTTTGAAGTGTTGAGGACAACTTGGTGTCTGTGGTAGGTTTTAGGTTGCACCCAATCCCTGGTTTCTTGTCTTCTGGCGGAGGTACTGGTGGTGTGCACTTGGCACAGGCCCAGACCTGGGAGGTGGGGCTGCGGCTCACAGCACCGAGTGGCCTTTTGTGTATGGTGTGGAACACTTTTCTGCACCACACCCTAGCCGCTGTGAGATGAGCACACAGAGTTGTTGGGAGACACGAAGAGCTGCAGCCTCTGCCTTGGGTCTCCCCCCTCCCCACCAGCATGTCCCATGACTGCCGCTGTCCCTGCCAAGCACACACGTCTCCCTTGAAAAAGCTAATCAGAGCACAGCACCCTACCCTACGGTCCCCCACACTGAAAAGTTGCTTCCTTCCTAAGGGCCTTGGAAATGGCACACAGGTGATAGGCAGGGAGAGGTGGGCTCCAGGCTCACTTGCAAAATTATAAGGCCAAGTTGAAGAATCTGTGTCAACCCCACTCGCCTCGGGAAAAGGACAGGTTAGAGCCGTCAGTGTTCTTGCTGGTGGTCAGTGCCATGTGGCCATTCTGCAGGAAGAAGCTGAAGCCCCTCAGTCAGAAGGACAAAGGGGACTGAGATATGAGCACACCCTCTTCCTTCACTGGGCACTAGACTTAGCAGTCTTAAGCACATTTCCTGTCACCCCCAAACAAGTCCAGCATTGGGTGCTCTTTGTCTCTGTCACATGAAGAGTCTGAAGCATGTCTGTAAGTTTGGCAGAGTCAGAACCTGACCCCAAAGCCCCTGGGCCAACCATCTGGCCTTTGTGCCCAACCCTGTGATGGGCTTTGTTTTGCTATGGAGTCACCACACCATGGCAGTGGGTTCTGGACATGGGTCAGACTGAGACCTGTCCTGCACCCATGACCCCAGGGACCACAGCCTGTGAGCACCCTCTCGCTGCATTCATAGCAAAGGGACTTGGTGTGCATCGAGCCTTGAAGTGCTGAACTCACAAAATTTGTTTGCATCCTTTGACCCCCAGAGCCCAATGAAGAAGCTAGGCCCTCATTCCTGTACCCAGCTCCCTCTAGGAGGCACAGCACATCAGGGCGGCCCACCTTTCTTCCCCTGCTCCAGGTGTAAACCGCTGAGCAGCTGCAGCCATCAGCACCCATCCAGGCTTTGTCTCCCTTTAAAGGCTCATGAGCTGCTGGGCCACTATGTGGCTCTGGGACAAGGACCTTAGGCACAGCTGCCTTCCTGTGTATTTATTCAAGGTGACTTCTTGGCAAAGGGAGGTTTCACTGTGTGATTGTATTCTTAATATAATTTGTTAAATAAATGTTTGTTTTAACCTCTTTCCCCCAGTTTGCTGTTATTTTTAAAGCCACCAGAGGTCAGTGTCCCTCAAGGGAGGCCCTCTATCCAATTGCAAGCTGTCCCTCCTGCTTCCCAGGGCTCCTGGAGGCCAGGTGATCACTACCTTAGCTTTTCAGATTTCTAGAAAAAACTGGCAGGTGACTTGAGGGTTTCAGGACCACCAGCATCCTTGACCCTCTGAAGATCCTGAGAAATCCCAGTTGCTGTGAACACAAGGCCCCTGAAGAATGCAGACGGTTCTTTTATCTCCTGCCTCCCACCTTCCTGTCTCTGGGCCTCAGGGCTCATCTGGCTATGAGAGTTGGGACACAGATCCTCTGCTTTGAGCCTGTCCTAACTGCTCACACACCACAGGATAACACCTGCAGAGATGGCATCCCACACATTCAGGGTTCCTTGTGAGCTTCATTACCAGTGCTCTGCCTCCCCACCTCCTGGCTGTGATTTCTCTACCTCTAGGATCTACCTCACAGCCTGCCTGCGGCTCAGCACACAGCAGTCTCAGTGGGAAGGAGCTAGAATGGTGGCCTTTGACTCACCACTGTCCTCTAGAGCTACCTAAAACTTAGGGTACCTCCACATGTGTACCCTCCACTCCCCAAACCCAGCCTCTTATCTCTTGAGCCTTTTTCCCACATAGCAAAGTCCCTCCCCCACATCTTTGAGGGGGACCAGGTCTGAGTTCTGGTTCTGACTGCCGGTTCCTTCATCTGGCCCCCAACCGCACAGGTTCTCTGCCTCAAGCCACTTGAGCTTACCACACATACCCACATGTCACCGAACTGACACCAGATGTTCTCATTCAGTGGTGTATCCCAAGAGGAGGGCACCATGCCTTCATCACTTCCTCCCCTGCCACAAGAGTGGGTGGGGCCAATGGGAGTGGTGACTAGATATGAAACGCCAGGGAAGGATGGACTCCAGCGGTACCATGGGTCCCTCAGTGGCCTCCCTGCAAAGTCTTGATGTGTCCCAAAGAAACCAGCGATGGGCCTCAAAGGTTTGCCCGGCACAGGCTTGTGGTGGTGATGACTGCCTTGTCTGTAGATGTTCCTTGGCCGCACGCACAACCGCACAACGGAAAGCTAATGAACCTCAAAACCTGACCTGAGCCTGCCAGGGACTAGGTTTTCTGGTTGTTATTTCCTACCTGGCTCTGGGTGGAAACTCTTGGCCTTGCAAAGTTGTGGGAAAACAGCTGTGAAGGAAAGCCATCAGCCAGCACCCTTCCCAGGCTGGGCCTGGTATTCCTACCTCCCCTCTCCCACCCTCAGGCTCAGGACCTGTGGCCAGCCAGCAGCCCTCGGGAATGGTAAGGCTGAGACAGAGACCTAGAAGGTTCCGTGTCCTCCTGACTGGGGCCACAGAACAGAGGCTGCACAGGTTGAATGGCCTGAGATATACCCATCTCCCACACTCTTTGTCCGTGGGAGGGAGCTTGAGACATTCAACCCTAGCTACCACTGGAAGTCTTGAGAGCTCCTCAAACTCCTGTACCACACCCATCCCAGGAGACCAAACAATAACCTGTATGGGGGCAGTGAGCCCCAGGGGTCCCCCAGGACCCTCCCCCTGCTGCCCCTACCCTACAGGTGGGCCAGATCAATGCCTAAAGCCAGGCCTTCAGCACTCCCCAGTGTGGTGGTTTGCATCCTCCAAACCCACAGCTTGGCTCCCTCCCCTCCCCCACCCTTACTCTTAACCTCTTCTCAACTTCCTCTGCCCATAACAAGGGATCCAAGCAACAGGACCAAGGTAGGAGGATAAAGAATTTGGAACCAACCTGAGATACATAGCAAATTCTAAACTGCTTAGAGCATTTGGTAAGACCTTGTCTCAAAAGAAAATGAACGTGAGGAAGCATCACATTGGGTAGCTGACAGCCACCTGTAACTCCAGCTTCAGAGGGTCCAATGCCTTTTGGCCTCTATGGGCACCTCTACAGGCACACATACCTACACACACACACACACACACACAGAGAGAGAGAGAGAGAGAGAGAGAGAGACTCACTAAAATAAAAACTTTAAAACATTGGAGCTAAGGATGTAAGTCAATGAGAGCATCTGCCTAGTACTGGTGAGGACATGGGTCCAATCTCCAGTACCACAATAATAATAATAGTAATAATAATAATAAACCCCAACAACACAAGTAATAATAAAAATAAACATGGGGCTAGAGAGATGGCTTAGAGGTTAAGAGCACATAAATTCTTACAGAAAACCTGAGTTTAGTCCCCAGTAGCCATGTCAGCCCACAACTACCTGTAACTATCTCCAGGGCATCTGACACATGATTCTGGCCATTGAGGTCACCTGCCCAGATGTGCATGCTCTCTCTCTCTCTCTCTCTCTCTCTCTCTCTCTCTCTCTCTCTCTCTCTCACACACACACACACACACACACACACACACACACAAACCCACACACAAACCCACACAAATCACAAATTAAATAAAATATAAGAAAAATAAACAATTGTTAAAGATCTCTTTCCATACCCTCAAAATATAGATAAGGAACCATAAGGCTGAGTGTACTCCTGCTGCTGTGTAGCTCCCAAAAGTTACCCAAAGGCCCGCGTGCTACATACAGGCCTGCTCACTGGGGTCATACTTTTGGGAGGTGGCAGGTCTGTTGGGAGATGAGTAGACAATGGCAGCCTAGCCCCTCCCCTTTCTCTTTCTTGCTCCCATTCATGAAGTAAGAGGCCCTGCTTTGCCATGTTCCTGTTGGGATGTGCCAGCACAAACTCAAAGTGTCAACCCTCTGAAAACATGAACCAAGAATCTTTTCTCTTTATGAGTTGATTAACTCAGGTGGTTGTCATAGTAACTGATGGAGAACTGAGCAACACATGAAACAGCATGCCCTTTCTGACACAGGAGAAGGAAGAAGGTGGCTCAGTTCATCTTAAATTAAACAAGGACAACACACATAAGTCAGATGCCTGTTTGGCTTTGGAGTCTGAGTACAAAAATTTCCGTGAAATGTTATATAAAACTGAATTCACCTGCATATTCAAAAATAATTATGACAAGTAGAGGCCACCCTAAGAATACGAGTGCTGAAGAGATGCCTCAGTAGTTAAGGGCAGAAGATTCAGGTTTGCTCTCAGCACACACACAGTCACTCACAACCATCTATAACTCTATTTCTATGGGATCTAATGTCTTCCTCTAATCCCCAAGGGCACCCGGTACATATGAGATACACACATAATACATGCAAGCAATACAGTCGTACACATAAAATAAAATTTTTCCATTTTCAGTGAAAGTTGGAGAGATGCTCAGCAATTAGGAGCACTGTTGGGTTCAGTTCCCAGTATCTATATGGCAGCTCACAACCATCTGTAACTGCAGTTCCAGGGGACCCCATGCTCTCTTTTGGCCTCTGTGGTACCAGACACAAACATACATATGCATACATGCAGACAACACACTCATGTACATAAAAATAAATGATTTAAGTTCAAGAATGTCCAATACTGGGAAAGGGACCTGGGCAATCTGCTCAAGGAAATACAGCCACAGTTTACTCACCCACTGCAAATGCATTTAAGGAGCCTTGATTTAGGAGCCTCTGTGAGTACCAGCCTCAGGATAAGTATAAGGACAAGTCAAAGATGTACACCTACCACCACTTCCTCACCATACACTGGAGATGTAAGCCAACGCCGTAAGAAGAAAAAGGAAAGGCAGAATACAAATGCGAGGGGAAGAGGCCCCATCCTGCTCTGTTGTGTAATTATCTGCATAGAAAATCAGAAGGAACCAACAATTAGAATGAATGAGAGAGATGGGAAGGGTGTCAGATACAAAAATGATTATCAGAAACAAACTGTGCCGTAAATGGAGTCTCTGTCCCACCAGGTCCTGTAGCCGTCAGTCCCATGAACCCAGCCTTCACTGTGCTCTTCTCTGTATAGATGTCAACGGACCAAGAAATAAAATAGAAAGACTTTCAAATAGGCATAAATACATCAAGGAATTAACAAGGTACAAGTTGTCTGTGAAGACTTCTGAACACATAAAAGCAAGGGATACCCAAATTAGCAGTGATGTCCCAATTTTTATCATTATTGTTATAAGTATAGGTGGATGTCATCTGTATTTATGTCTGTGCACTATTTGCATGCCTGGCACCCATAGAGGCCAGACGAGGGCATTGTATACCCTGGAACTGAAGTTATAGATGGTTGTGAGCTGTCATTTGAGTGTTGGGAATTGAACCCAGGTTCTTTGGAAAAGCAGACAGTTCTCTTACCTGCTGAGCCATCTCTCCAGCCCTGAAAAGATCCTACGTTACCTTAACATTCTAAAACCATCATATGCTTCATAAAAGCAAGAATTATGACTCTTGGCTTAGACTCCAATGATCAGAGCCATGTTTGGCATAAAATAAGCCCTTGATAACTATTTGTTTATTGAATTAAAGTGAAAATGCTGCCTTTTTGAACTAATATGTTCAGTTCAAGCCAGCAGAAAACTATACAACTTTCTTAAAACATAAAATTTCTAAAAGGAAAAATGCATGCAAGAATCCTTCGAGCATTTGACAGTTATTCTAAAGTGCTAAAGTGCTTAATGAAGAATAAGAGTCTACATTAAGCTTTTCCAAAAATATTTTTATGTTTATTTGTGCATATCTGGAAACACATTAGTGCATCAATGCACATGTGGAGGCCAGAGGACAATGTCCAGCAGTCAGTTCCACCCTTCATGTGGGCCCTGGGGTCACACTCAAGTCATCGGTTTGACAGCAAGTATCTTCACCCACTGAGCCATCTTTGGCATGTGTAAATATATGTCACCCAAACCTGTTGAATGCCAGGCAAGGGCACTTTTTCTGAGCTATACTCCCAGCCCTAAACATGTTTCAAAGAGGGATTTATTCTTCCAGATATAGATACTAATGAAAACACTGGATTAGGGACTAGAGAGATGCCTCAGAAATTAAGAGCACTTGCTGTTCT